CCCCCCAGCCGCCCCGGCTGCGTGACGGACGGGACTGTGCTACGGAAGCCTAGGGATGGCAAAGACATCCCACCACCTTCTTCATCCCCTCTTCACCCTCCCCTCACCACCAAAAAAAACGGTTAAAAAATAAATTAAAAAATAATAATAATAAAAAAAGTAAAACATGCCCAGAACAAAATGCAAGAGTAGTTCAGGACCGGGCTAGTCTTGCATTTGTTTTGGGGTGGGGAGGTGGAATGAGATGTTATGGGTGCAGCTTTTAGTAATGGGGGTGGAAATGGTCACTAGCAGAGCAGATGGCAAAAACTGCATACAGGAGAGTTCTTAAAAAAAAAAAAAAAAAAAAAGAAGAAAAATGGCTGACAACTGCAGACAAATTCTTCCTCGATACTTCCTCAATAACGGGGCCAAAACCCTACAATTTGACACATTTTCCAGCCAAATTTCCTGAAGACATTGAGCGGCAAACCCAAAGTCGCCCTGGTCTCTGTCCTACACCAGGTCAGACCCTCCCAACTGCAATTCAACTTTGGACCTTGCGTCGCCACTTAACCTGGCAGAAACTGCCACGGTAGCTCATGCTTTTAGCAAAGAAGCAAAATCAGTGCATTTCTGTAGATCAGCCAACAAAAAAGATGTGGTAAAAAAAAAAAAAAAAAAAAAAAGAAAGGAAGAAATAAAAACAGTGCCATCGGCACAATTGCCTGCAAGAAGGAGTACAGTTTGTTATATTGCTTACAATGCAGTATTTTATCCAGCCTCTTCCAGCCAGGGACCTGTAAACCGGACTCTGTTCCAAAACCTTCCTCCTCTTCCAGTTGTCTGTGCAATGTATTGGCACTGTTCTGCTGGGCTGTCAAAAAAACTGGTTTAGAGATGCAGCTCTTCAGTCAGGTTTTTGCTCCAGTTCTAACCATATAAACTTATTTGTGCTTTTCAACAATTAAAGATAAAGAAGATGATTATACTTACTGAGAAAAGAGTTTTTTTACCATCAGCATCCCACGTTACTGATCAGAACGGGGGACTAAGGAGGTGGGGGGGGATCCAGTTACAAATTCGCAGCTGTCCACATCACAGAAACTTCATCAAAACTGGCGTTAATTGGCTCCTTCATCAACACAGAGGTTAACGGGCCTCAGAACTAACTCTCCTGCGAATGCCCTGGAGGCAAAAGCTCCAGAAACGGGGCAAGCGCATCGGTGCGCATCGGGGGGAAAGCCTGCCCTGTATATACGTGTATATATATATATATACACCTGTTATGTGGACAAACAGAAGACTTCTGTCTCGAGGCTTTCAGTTGCCACGCTTCAGCAGCGTTCATCTTACTCTAAAAAGAGAAGTGCTGGGAACGGTGCAGTGGTTTTATAGGTAACCTGAAAGCGTTACGACGCAGATGTGGATTTGCAACAGGCGCAGGGATTGCTGCTCCCTTGGCTAACTGAGGCTTGAGACATCGTGATAGTAAGCTACCGTGCCTCCAGAAGCTGGGCTAAGCATCTGATGCCCTAGGAGGGTCTCCCAGCACCGTGTGGAACTGCGCTACGAGCAGAAATTCCCCAAAATGAGCCTGGTTCGGGGAACCAAAGTCCTACAATAGCAGAGCAGTATTACAATACACACACACACACACAAAAAAAAAAAAAAAGATTACGGAGGACAATCAAACCTAACGTTGGATGAAAAAGGGGCTTACCACAAAAAGATCTGGGTACACAGAAGCTCTACGTTAAATGTGTGAGCACCTACAGGGTGCTAGGCAGTAAATGGTTAGAACTGATCCAGTGGCACTGATTTGGAAGTAATGCTCAGAGGCCACTGGAGACTGAGTGCTGCTGCAGAGAATCGCTTTCGTTTACTCATCTTTGGTCTATCACTTTTACAAAATACTTCCTTAAAGAAAAAAAAAAAAAAAAAAAAAAAAAAGAAAAGAGAAAGATTCTGGTAATGAATCTAAACTCTAAAATGAAGTGAACCTGAAAGCAACTATGCTAAAAATAAATCGTGTTATTTGAATGTAGATGAGAATCCCTCCATTGCTTCTTTTCTGATAAGCCACTTTACAAGGAAAATTGTCCTACTAGGACAGCGTCTGAAAAATTCAATCAAGATTTGCCATTTGGAACATGCTTCCAGTTCAGTAAAACACGCTTTCCAGAGAACCGGCCAAGTGCTATAGACACCAACATACACACAGAGAAACACACAAACGAGGAAGAAAGAACATAAGATAACGTAAACATGGGCTCCCTTACCGGTGAGCGGGTCTGAGGCTGGGTGTTCATTGTTTGAGGGGCTTGAGGGTACACCAACGTGGTTGGAGCTGCATTCTGTCCTGAGGGGTAAGGAGCCTGCCAGGGAACAAGAAAAGTAAATAAAAAATGAGTGTATCAAGTGATTCATCCCAAAAGATAAGAACTGGGCACGTTATCAGATGGACTGCTGATTAACATTGAGATAAAGACGACACAGGTGATTGCGATGGAGAAAGCCTTCTCCCGTCAAGGACCCAACCAATTTATCAACACTACCCTAAGCTCCCCGAGTGACGCGGCGGAAAACATAGCGAAGAGACACGTCAACGCAACACCGTGTCACTGAAACCCTGTGTTGTCCGAACCCCCAGCCACGTACTTTCCAAAAGCCTCCTCTGAACCTGTTTCCAAGGAAAGCTGGAACTGTAGGTATTGCCGATAAATCCTCCAAAATCAGACAAACGACAAGAAACAAGCTCGAATGCATTTAATACAAGCCGCTGCTGCTTTAAAGCGTTTGCAACACAATGAAATGGCCCGAAATCGTTACAGATGTAAGGCAGACCACGGGTTGTGTAAATTTTTCATAGCTCCACTGATTTCAATAGGCTATAACAATTTATACCACCAGATGCTGTCCCCATGTTATTTGCCCAAAGTAACAATAAACTGGAGCTGTAGAGTTATGCCGATTACGCATTTTAACGAGACCTTTAGAAATAATGTTTCAGAGCACCTTTTTCCTTTTTTTTTTCTTTGAATGAAAAAATTATAACTTTTTTTTTTTTTTTAACATAGTTTATTATTGTAATGGCATAAAAACCAGCCACTAGCCTGCAACACCCTTCACTTTCAAGAGGAATTAGCCCAAACTCTACGTGCTGCCCTGTAGCTCCTGCACGACTCCATCGCAAGCCACTTCTCCAGCTCCTCAGCTCTTCCCCCTTCACTGTCTATCCCTTGTGGTGCCAGCTCTGGATGCTGGCACTACTGATGGTAACCACAGTCCCTATACTAACCTCCTGGCTATGTACCACCATATGTACTGGATGAACAAAGGAGCTCATCAAGTCTTGGGTCTCCTCTGGGAGAAGGTCTTTGGGCTCACTTTACAGATTATGGGAGAGGATATGCTTAAAAACATTGCAATATCTTTCTGTACGCAGAATTAGGATATATTCACACTGCAAGCCTTGCTGAAGAATCCCTTCTCATCTTTGAATTTCATGGCCTTTGCATTAAAATTCAAGAGCAGGTCTAAGGAATAAAGGGAACCGTTTCAGTCCATAATGTGGTATTGGGAGAATAGGTTTCACTGCACCAGCCCTCAGGCACATTTCAGAGTATCTCTGATTTGAACTGTGCTATATTTGATTTGAATAATTAAGTTTTTAAACAATAAAACTAAGTTATAGTCGGTAGGCCAAACCTGTTTGTATTAAAGAAAAAAGAAACTTATAAACCTTTAGCTATCAAGGGAGGTGATTCAGCACAAAGCCTGAAGCCCTGTTTCAGGCAAATAGCTCAAGGAATGGTGTAGAAACAACACAAAACATGCTGTTTCTAGAAAGAAACTCAGTCCCGAAGCTTGCAAAACTTCCAAGTCTGCATTAGCAAACTACGCAAAGTATAATCAGGCATGTTCTGGCTTTCAAAGGAGAGTCAACCAGTCCTTACAAGATGAAGGATGTATACTTTTAAGAAAAAGAAAGCAATTTACTAAGAGTTTTTCTTACAAAATAAAGTGGGCATATTAGTATACCATTGGGTAAGGCATGTATTTACTTCTCACCTCCCAGGCTGCCTCCTACAGCAGAGTCACAGACCTTACTGCAGCTCAGCCTCTTCAGGCCTTTCAGTATGAGCAAATGTAGGATGGTTTTGGAGCAAGACTATGTCTTGTTTTGGAAAAGCACCTACTACATATGATCGCTGAAAGACATCTACCACCGAGTGCCCCAGCACACACCGACCAGTGTCCTGTGCCTTGCAGAGTGTCTAGGAGACAGCTGGGGTCTCTTGTGTTACTCTTTTTTCCTCTTTTTCATCCCTAGACATAAAATCCCCGCTTAATCTCCTGCTGATCAAAATACAAGGTAAATGAAAATATAGTTTGGAGGCAATCCAACCAAAGAATTTTCCAGTCTCAGAAAAAAACCAAACCAAAACAAAAAAACCTCAGAACATGGTGGCAGGGGAGGAGGGGTCTGAGCATAGCCCAAAAATAGTCCCATCCCAAACACCTACTGCTGCAATACCTCCTGATGCTGCTTGGGGACCACACTCAAACTGATCATCAAAGAGCAAAACTTAAACACGAATACACAGACACTTAAGGACAGTGCTCCTACTACACAAGCTAACGAGGCAGGACGTTCTGTTATTTGCTACTTGATTTTCACATTGCTCTTTGGGTCAAAGAGATGATAAAAATGTACTTGTATATCATCACTAGATCTTTGCTGTAATTACGGACACCAAAGCACACTCGGTAGAATATTTAGCTGAAGAATGTTGTTCTGCAGTAGTTTATATCAATACGGTAGAAAAGAGTCTGGTTCAAGAGCAATTAAATGTTTTTATCAGCTCCTGCTACGGAAGCAGCAACCTCTGGCAGGTAAGCAGGGCAGGTTTTCCGCTGCCCCTCCTCTCCAGGAGCTCATTTGGTCTAATCCTCTCTAGCCAGCGCTTCCCTCCCGTCTTACTACTGGCAAAACCTCTAATTCATGTTAACAACTAATTTGCAAGAAGTCTTCTATTTTTTTGAGATGTCAGATGCAGCATCAAATATTTTCCCCTTTTATTTGACAAGTGTGATTCTGCTTGAGCTGTTCGTGTCAATGCTGTATAATAAACAGTATGTACCATATCTCGCAGCAGTAATGACACCACAGCAATGAGCGATCACAGCACGGCGTAGAATAATCGAGCACTAACGAGACACGGGGAAAACTCTGGTATCTTTTTATCCACAACCTTAGAGAAGTTGTCCTGCATTTGTAGTATCTTGCTGCTGACTCTCTGCATCTGGGATCTCTGCCCAACAGGAGATTAAGGCGTCTCCTCTCACAGCGGCTTTCTGTGTCAGTCCACGCACCTTGCAAAGGCTCCTGATGCTGCTCTTCATGATCCTACCAGACAGCAGCGAGAACGCAGGGAGGGTTACTGTGTCGGGAAATATTATGAACACTCGCATGTAAGTGGACCAGTTGACCACCAGCTCCTTGTGCCTCCAGCTTTGCAGCTCAAGAGAAGAGACCTTACCCCAGACGCTTTCAATTGCTGCTCCCATAGCATCTCAGCAAAAAGGGAGGAAAATATCTGCTATTCTCCCCCTTCTTCAGGCTCATGAGATGTGTTTTTTTCAGGCTTAACTTGCACGCAACAGAACAAAGCCTAAGTCAGATATAACTTCCATGCTACCCCCAAAGCCCTTACCCACCTCCAAAACAGCCCAAGTTTTCTTTTAATCACCCAAGCAAAAGGAAATTTAAAAGACAGGAAGTGCAGCTATCACTAAGCCTAAAAAACTATGAGTTTTAGCAGAAAGACCGTAAAGCAGGCATTTTTAAATACAGTGCCAAAGACAGCCACGTCATTGATAACAGATGTCATTTCTGACACTAGTAGGGCTGAGAGGCAAATGCAAGACGACACAATCTAGTGTTAAATTTGCTTTAGTATTTAAACCCTATCAGAATAAGTATAGCATTAAGTTATAAATAAAGAAAAAAGCATATGAAGGCTTAAATAGGAGCCACTGAAGGGTTTCTGCTATTAAGCTGTCATCACAACAAGGTAATTTTGGACAGCCAGTGCTGTTTCTAACCCAGACGACCTCTCTGGGTGCTAGGTTCACAACTGCAGCCTTGAGGAATGAGTGCAATACAAATCCCACTGAAGACAACAAACATCACCTAAATAAACATGTTTCACAACTATTACACAACAACAAATGCTTCTGCTCGGCATGCTTCAAACCAGATGGAGGTGTGCCTTAACTGGTATTTGTGTTAAAACCATAATGGGGGGGGGGAAAAAGAGAGGGGAAAAAAGTGCATTATAAATTTCTGCAGTTACTAAGTTCACACATAAGTACATGGTAGCCTAAATCAAAACATCCGACAGAATAAATCACAGCACTCCACTGCTTTTCAGACAAGTCAGCTGATTAAAAGTATTGCATCTATTCATCTGTCAAAAGGACATTTTTCTGTGCCAAGCATCTAAACACGTACACAAAGTAATACAATCACATGCAGTCATGCTGGAAATATGTGGCTTTTATGCACCGTGGCCGAAATGCTGAGGATGAGGTGAGCAAATGAAGAGATCAGCGAGGAAATGCTCCAAAAATCCCCTAAATAAACTACCAGGGAGGGGAAGGCAGGGAAGCAAATATCGCTCTGTATAAAAATTTTGGTTCAGAAGCATCTAAACGCTGGCATCGAAATCCCTGAAGTTCAAATAATTGCAGCACCCCAAGCTGGAACACAACGGACGGCTGCTGAGCTGCTCCACTTTCGAGGCAGAGCAATGTGCTTCCCTTAAAGCTTTCATTTTAGCAATTTTATATTTCAGATGTGGCTATTCATGGGGGGAAGGCGATAATAGTTGTGTGTTTATGTATTCCCACAACTTGCCGGGGAAAACCCTTTCTATCCGTTTTCTGTGCAGTTTCCACCTTGGGCTGCTGACTGCGCTAAGCAAAAGAAATAAAATAATCACTACCAACAAAACAAATGAAAAAAAGTTATTCTTAGATCAGTTCCCAAGCTGGTTAATAAACACTAAGCCTGCTGCGTAACATGACTCCCTCGGTACTGACTGTACTGGGAATAAACAGGCAAAGTACACACATCAGGTTCAGAAAAAGCTGAGTCACGCAGCTCTCTGCCTCCCGCAGCCGGTGGAAATTTTTTTTTGGAACAAAACTCTTAAATCCCCAGGCAGAAAGGTGTCGCTTGCTGAGCTTTCTGCCTCTGGCAGCGTGGTTGGGTTTGGCGTGGGAAGGGGTTAAGCCCTGTCAC